TCATAATGGCAAAATAATGCGTAAAATAATCCAGGGTATGCTGAATGTAGCTACTTCTAAATAATCAAAATACGCTCAAAGATGATACTTTCTCAAAACATTTGCTACAGTTACATAACTCTACACCCTAGTTTGAAACCTACCCAGTTGCTTCTGTTGAGTAATGTGTACATTCTTGACAGTTGAATGTTTTATTCATAATATTAACAAGAACATTGGCGGCATATAACCCACGATACCTGAAGCCACACATGCAAACAAATTTGTTACATTACCGAAATGCAGCCATGCAAGAAAGGACTAATGAGCTAAATCACACAACCGTCTGACCCACATAATGTGTTTCATAAAAAGGCTACCTATATCCTATTCAGTTTCCACCAATCAATATATATATATATATTGATATATAAATATATCTGACAACACAACTGTCTACCTGTTGATGCTAGCTGATGATGTTTCTCCATGCGGGACGGCCATGTTATAATCAACAATACCTACAAAGGGATCAGTTTTGTCTCAATTTAAGTTAACTTTGCACATCAGTTGAGTCACACAAAGGTGCAATAATATCCGTGTACTATGATACACAATGACAGTAAACTTTACTTATGGTCCAAAACAAACTGAAAGGTACCAGTAATTTTAGTTCATTATAACTTTTGTTTGTTACACACATGACCACCATATCAATCAAGTGGCTGGATGTATATACACAGCTCCTTTTTCTGAGTTTGTTGTATCAGTTTGTCACAAGCCTCTTTGTTATAAACATCATTTACTGTAACTTCCTTAAGTGGCATTTAGAAGCTGGTATGATGAAGTGGAACATTTTTTATGGATAGACAACTTCTTTGTTGCAGTAGTTGCAACGTTTCGGTGTAGATCCTAACACCGTTATCAAGCAAATAAAATGTATTTGCTTGATAACGGTGCTAGGATCTACACCGAAACGTCGCAACTACTGCAACAAAGAAGTTGTCTATCCATAAAAAGTGTTCCACTTCATCGTTTACTGTATTGATAAACAACACATCCTGGGGTGTATGCAAAGAATATTATATATTAATCTGGAGTTTACTTGTTTCCATATTTCATCAACTATTTCTATATTTTAACCCAAGATGGTGTATTGATTGAAAGTACATTGTCTAATATTACAATAACTGAAATGAGTGGTAAGTCATGCCGTTACACAGGGTGATAAATCCATGTCAGACATTTTGTCTGTTGTAACATTATGTAAGTAATAAGTTTGGGGAAAGATTTATTACAGTAGACTTTGTTCCTTGTGAAACATGTCAGCGTATGTGGAGACCTCTCCTATGTGGAGGCCTGTTCCTGACTGTATGTACCTAAGTATTCTAAAGTTAAACAAGCATATTGCATGACATTACCAATATGAAGTTTTATTGCTCATTAGTTGCGGTGTTGAGTTGGGATCAGGATTATAAAGCTATAATCCGTGCAGATCATACTCAGCATGGAACAGTTATTCATTATCCCCTGAGTTTCTTTGTCATTAAAGTTATTCACCCAGAAAATCTTTGTGACATTCCTAATAATATGTAAGTGTATTACAATTAATATTTGATACTGATATCTTTATACCTAATCCATAAGAATTCTGTTATGAATGGTCACTCAAGACCCTTGATGTATGCTTTTCTAAAAGAGATATCAGACCAATGGGAAACAAACCTGGGACCTGAAAGCCAATCAGACTGTTTCACACTAAACCAGATATCTGTGTCGTCAAGAGTGAAGCTGCCTCTGTATTCCCAAGTTGTAACAAAATCATGCCCTGTCATGGTTGAACTGTTCTGTCCCTGTGTGCCGGCAACTGACATTTGTTGTGTGGAGAAACAGAAGCGTCATTGTTGTAATTAACGCGTGTCACTTAATTAGAGAGGGCATGTCAGTTTCACCTGTCCGCATCCCCAGGTCAAAGGTTCGGCAGGTTGGGGACACTCGGAGTGGACTAACAGGAAACTGTGAACTCCAAACTGTTTCAAATCGGAGCTTACTTCCGTGGAATACTTACCAGGAATAGTGGATACTGAGAGACATGCTGGACTCTGGTCCATGGTGACAGTGTACCTGTGGATTGTGCTCTGGAGTACCTGTCACATGTCGTATACCTCTCTTTGATCAATACCTGCAGGATCTTGATAGTGCAGCCCATTTCCCTTTCTGTCTGTGCACCACTGATATGCAGCATAATGACAGATTGCTGCCATGTAGATTTTGTGGAATTATTTTAATGCTAATTTGAAAGTTCTTCATGCCTCGGGATTTAAAACTGAAGGTCATTAAAAAATTTATGAAGGACAAATAGAGCATGAAACAAACAGTTTGACGGATACTATGACCATACACTTCATGGAAGCACTCTTCTGATCAGTCGATGTTTGAGTAGTGAATTTGAAAACAGGAAGGTGTGTTGGTTGTAGTGCTTGTGTTATTGACATACAGTTGACAGCGGCGACCTGTGATTTGTGAGCATATTTACGGTCTCGTATGCCCCCTACTGCAATGGCAAGAGTGAATAAAGGCAGTTTAGCCTCCAAGAATCTGACATCCTGGTACAGCTGTTACATGCGCCAAGTTAGCAATAACGCCCAGCATGAAGCAACCGGCGGCCACAGGCATAGGGTCACCAGTGGGGTGGCAGGTAATTGATTTGTATATTTCAGTAGTGTACTTGACATGAAATTAGCGAGGACTGTTTCCAGTAAATATTGATCGATGTGTATGTGTGTTCAAGCATGAAAGTTTAAAGACAATTGTCAGATCAATACAGTACTTAACCCACCATGGACAGTAGACCCTGTGACAACAGTACCCAGCCAGCATGGGGAGATGTAACAGTAAAGTAAAAGTAAAGAAAAGGAAAAAAAAAAAATATTTATATATATTTCCATGAGGTTGTTTTGTATATAGATATATGACTTGCATATTAAGATAATAAAACAGAAACACTTTTTTAAAACTCTAGAACTGAATGATACCTATCAGAATTTACTAAGAACAGAGTGAGTGAGTGAGTTTAGTTTTACACCACTTTTACTAATATTCCAGCAATACCACGGTGGGGGACACCAGAAATGGGCTTCACACATTGTGCCCATGTGTGGAATCGAACCTGGGTCTTTGGCGTGATGAGCGAATGCCTTAACCACTGGGCTACCCCACCGCCTCTCTAAGAATAGAATAAGATTTGGTTGTTCTGTATGTGTGGCAAGTTTTCAGGAGTACAGATGGATGTTGCAGCTCTAAGCTGTTTCCTCGTCCACCAAGTGAAGGTTAACTCTCATTGATTATAGAATTATTAGAGTGTTTATTCTCCATGGCTGTATAGAAACCATTGATTCCAACAGTACCTCAGGTTGTTTTATCGAATTCAGCTGGCAGCACTTGTGAGCATGAACAATGCGCTTGTTCAAAATGCTTGGTCTTTTTAGTGTAAAGCAGTGTCACCTGTAAAGTACTAACATAATTTTAGGGCAAAGGCACTGTACTGTTGAATCTACAGGTGAGAGCACCAGATCAAAACCACAGCAATGTCTACCTTCTTTCTGCCATACCAAACATAATGGTGTAAAGATAATGATCAGTTGTGTTTATATGAGATTTTTAAGGGATTTTTAAAGGAGATGTCACAGTTTCAGATGAGAGAAACTAGTTTTAGCTTGTTGGTGTCACCAGAATTGGTGATATCACATTTTGAATGCCAGTGAGGTTTGCAACTTTACATCTTGTGGCCTGTAGTTGTAAATACATCTATAGTTGGTTCAAATGCTCGACATTGATTGTGAAAGTAGTTTTCTATAAGAATTCTCTGGTGTGGTGATATAACCACACCAGTGTGACCTTGTTGATTGTACATGTATGTCGGTGTGACGCAAGGTATGTGGCCCACTGTGTCATCATGTTTCTTGGCTTAACACCATAATCACTGAGTTCACAAAAGTCTTAAAGACCTACATCACTTCTTGGTCTCCTCCAGTTTCAGCTGACATGCTATGATATTAAGGAAATACTGTTCAAAGCAATAACAAACTCACTCTCACTCGGAGGACAGGTCAATATTTCTTATGGTCTGCCACTGTATAGAAGATTTTATAGTGCTTCATGTCATCACAACAATGAGTGTGATACTCACGGAAGCTCTCATACAATCCTCCTGCCTTGACCTTCCACTCAGTGCCAGTAGGGAAAGTGCCGGGGAACAGAATATTGATTTTCACAAATTGTGACCCAGTTGCCCAGGTTTATGCCCCCAAGAATGTGACCTTCTTAAATTGTTTGCTTTCTGAGAATGTCTTGACTCACAATTCCTGCCATTTAACAGCAGAAGTTGTTGGACTAGCTAGTGAGTTTGACTCTTTGACAAGAAGATACTCGTTATGGGCCGAGTTCACATTTTGATAAGGCAGAGGTGAGAACAGTGTAGGCTTCAACATGTGTTTTCAGTAGTCGTAACTGTTCTGTGGTTTCACGGCCGCTGATACACATCTCCTTAACTCGGCAACAGCATATACACATCTGTGTATGTTATAAATTATTGGATAATCTGTTTTTTGTAAAAGTCATCATTGTTGTAAGCTTCAATTCCTTCTTGGACTTCTGCCACATGTTTTGTTTGAAATATGTATGTGGTATCCAATTGTTGACCTAAAGAGATATAATGTTATTATTTCCGCTGCAGTTGTTAAATTGATTGTCTGAGTCAATGGATTACTGGATGTTTGTGATGGTTATTGACCTTGTATCTGAATGTTGTTTGGTCATCACACGTTCACCTGACTTCACACTTCATCATTCACTCCTTCTGGAATGCGAGAAATGTTCCAGTTGTTTCAGATTGAAACAGTGAATCCCTTTGTTGGCAAGCTAGTGGACAAATGTGAAGACAAAAGATGTTTGGGTCAGTTTGTTTAGAGAAACGTACCTGAGTCAATACGAGTATGGTCAGTGTCTGGTTTGTGTTTCAGATTCATTTGGTGACCAAGGCGACTCCAGGGTGGTCAGAGAGGTTACCGTCCAGTCTATGGGGTGAGTACTGTTTGTCTTGAGCCACTCCTCGCCCCTCCCCTCAAACCACACTTTTGTCTTAGTTTCGGGAACTACCAACTGTTGTAGACACTGGTCCGGTCTCCTGCTAATGCCTATTGTGGTGTTTCTAAACAATGTAGTTTTCTTTGGTTTTTTAAGAAAATTCTCAGCCTCATGTTTAGGACAAAGGCTTTTTTAGGAGCTTAAACTCGACTTGATTTTTTTGTGAGAACATTAAGATTTTAAACACATGTATTGTTCGTGTCATTATGATGTTTGCATATCAACAGATACAGAGCACCCTAGAAGAGCATATTTGAATAACACAGGCAGTTTTAAGGCTTCAAATATTTAGATAACCTTCTTCCAGATATCAATAATAATATTGGGTCTTTTCTACTGTCTGAAGCTCATAAAGTGACAAATTATGATAGGTAAAGAAGAACTTTTCATATATAATTAAACACCTACCAGGAATATCCACTCTGGGAGATAATATTTATGAGAATAATGACAGTTATGTCTTAAATTTAGATTGTGAACTTTAACCTCTGACCTGATACCTGATCTCAACTGTTTATCTTTCTGTGTTGACCTGATGGTAACTTTTGCTCAATCAGTCAAATGCACCTATTATTTTGTACACTATTAGCATGATAATATCATTGAACAGGACCATATGGAGTTTCTAAGGCAGGACAGGCCTCTAGTACTTACTACTCTGCATAAGAGGTGACTAAACTGGGTATTAGTGGGGTGGCTGCTTGTCACCATCAGTGTGTTGATTGACTGTCACCATCCTTCTGTAACTGCTGGGGGCGGTGAGGTAGCCTAGTGGTTAAAGCGTTCGCTTGTCACACCGAAGATACGGGTTCGACTCCCCACATGGATACATTGTGTGAAGTCCATTTCTGGTGTCCCCCGCCGTGATATTTCTAGAATGTTGCTAAAAGTGGCGTAAAACCAAACTCACTCACTGTAACTGCTGTTTGTCAGGGCACCACTGACATCCTTCTGTGTGTTGGTTAATCACCGCTCTCAGCAATATTAGAACTATAATACAATTGAGTCTTGAGTGACTGACATCATGAGCAAACAATGACATGCACGAACCAAGTTAGCACGCCTGACCACCCGATACAACAATTCTGACAACTTTCCTTTCTGTGTTCTCAGCGGTGGATCTGCCCAGCAGAATGGCTACAGTTCCAATGTTGCCCGGGAAACACAAGACCGAGAAGATGTAAGTACTTCTGCTACTTGTCTTTCTAACTTTTCAGATATACCAGTATCTGTACTGTGTACTTCATCTACAGTGTCTGTCTGTCTCTCTGTCCACATACATATATACCGGTATATATATATATTGACCACATTGGATAAATGCATCCTAAGTAGTTGAAACACCTCTTTGCTCATCCAGTTATTAGGGCAAAATGATGAACAAATTACATGACATTAAGATCTATGGTGAAAAGCCACATCAGTCCAGCAGTCCTTTTGAAAACTGAGTGTAACTTCATAAGCAGCCCAATCTTGCTGTGATTGTAGTCCTGTTGTGCTCAGTAATGACTTACTTTCTATTCACACTTGTTTTCAGGTACATTTCACTGAGATGTCTTCAGTGAGGAACACTTTTGAATCTGGTGGACCGCAGCAGACAACTAACGTAACCCAGTCACAGAACATTGGTTGGGAGGAGGAAGAAGAAGGTGTCTATGAGAACCAACCAGACCGTCTAGATAATGTCGCAACGTGAAAGTGACCGAGATATTGGAGCAGAACTTCCTGAGGTTGGCATGGCAAAGAATCTTCTCAGTAGATTCACACAGATTGCAAGCGAGCCAAAAAATTACAAAAGGGAGGTAACTCCTCCGCGCCAGGGAGCTGGAAAAATTGAATACAAGTCAGCCAGCAAGTCACATTCAAGTGTATGAAGGTAAAGCTGAGGCAGGAATCTTTGAAAGTCAGCCCCAAATTAATCCAGACGTCGTCAGATCAGTTGACAGCACAAGTGAGCCACTGCCTGAACGAGGAACTGCCAAAAATATTGCATCAAAATTCAAGCAATTGGAAAGTGGAACTGGCAGTTACACTGGATCTTCACCTTTGAAAAGGGAGATTACTCCTGACAGAGCCACTGGGAAGGTTGAATTTGTCTCTGAGCCAACAGCAACCATTGAGAGGTACGAAGGAAAGGCTGAAGCAGGCATTTTCGAAAACCAGCCACAAGACTACGAGGGCGTTGTCAAATCTGGGCAAGAGGTTGAAGAAATTCTGCCAGAAAGAGGTTCAGCTAAGAATATTGCTCAGCGCTTCAAGCAGATGGAGAGCTCACCATCCTCTGCAGCAAGGGGCAAAAGGGGAGATAACTCCTGACAGAAACACAAGAGGAGAATATGTTAGCGAGCCTAGAGCTCATGTTGAGATGTATGAGGGCAAGGCAGAGGCAGGAGTCTTTGAGAACAGGCCAGCTGAACGATCTGATGTCGTGAGGAGTGAAGACATATTAGATGAACCACTTCCTGAAAGAGGGTTTGCCAGAAATGTTGCTTCCAAGTTCCGTGAAATGGAACATAACATGAAGTCCCCTCCACCTACCCCAAACCGAGTGAAGGAAATCACACCACCCAGAGAGGGAATTTCGAGTGGTGTCTACGAGAGTCAGCCCCAAACCTCACCTGATGTCGTCAGTGAGAATGCCCAAGTTGATGAGATTGTTCCAGAAAAAGGTTATGCCAGGAATCTTGTCTCACGATTCAAGGAGATTGAACAGGAAAACAGCAAGGTAGCAGTCTCCAACCGTAGGGGCATTACTCCACCACGATCTGAAACTGGTGTTTTCGAGAACCAGCCACAAGAATTTATTCCCCGACTACAACCAAAAGATAGATAGTGGCATTGCTGAGAACAATCCTGAAGTCCGAAGTGATGTTGCCAAGGAAACTGATCCTGCAAAATATGGAGAAGAACTTCCTGAACGTGGTACTGCCAGGAACTTGGTGTCCCACTGGAAGCAAGTTGAAAGTCAGAGTGGGAAACAGAGTCCTGGTTCTGGAGTCAGAACCAAGGAGTTCACCCCTCCCAGAGAGGAAGAGCGTGTGAAGGCACTCCGAGGCCAGCTCTCCCCGGGGGCAGGTCAGTTCGAGAGTGTCAATCCTAACGACCTGCCAGGCCAGTACCAACAACAGGTGGAACCAGGCGTGTTTGAGAATCAGCCAGAGGTACGCACAGATGTTGTCAGTGAAGCACAGACAGATTGGACAGAGGGTATGCCAAAAGAAAATGCTGCCAAGAAAATGGTAGCCAAATTCAAGAACATACAAGCTGAAGCAGTGAAAGAACAACCAATGCCTGTCTCTCGAAAGGTAAGAAAATATTTTAATGTTGTCTTTATGGAGTTAGAATTATTTCTTTTGCCTCGTTTTTGTGTTTGAAATACTTTTTTTCCTGCCAGGAATGCTGCATGACTTGATGGAGCTGTGCTAGTTTGGAGTGTTGACATGTTACTTTTACAGTTTGTTGTGGACTGCATGACAGTGGATCTACAAGAAGGAACAAGGTTGACATTATTTTGTTTCAGCTTTGACTATACTTTTATTTATCATAATGATTTGAAAACTAAGAATATTTGACAACCAAAACATTTTAAAAAGCAGTCTACGTGAGAGTGTCTTTGTTATAAAAATTAATTATAAGCTCCATTTTGTTGTCTTTTTGTGATGACAAGAATATCCAAGGTGTCATTTTCCTGCAAGGTGCCCCAAGTACCATTCTGTACAAGGACATTTCCAAGGCTATCTTGTTTTCCTAACTTTTCTTTCATGCAGTAACTGGATTCTGTTGTCAAATATGTTTGGTCTTTCATTTCATTATGAGTTGGTGATGAAAGGGTGTGATGACATATCTGGTGTGTTGCATCCCTAGGAAGGTGTGTGGCACTTTCACAAATGGAACACTCTCAATGAGTGGAGAGAGAGAATGCTATTGAGTTGGATACAATGTGTCCAGTCATGCTATAAACTTGGGTACAGATATCACGTTGATTATCATCAATCAAACATTCTATCATTATCAGCCTTGCGTGTGATATGTGATCTTGTGTGTGATATGTGGCCCCGCGTGTCCATATAATGCGTGTGTACCAAGCTACCAGCCAAGCACTTACAGCAAGCTGCACATTCTTCACAAGCTTAATTTTGTATATTTTAACCTCGAAAAAAACAAACAATAATTCCTTCATTATTCTTTCAGAATTTATTAATGTTTTTGTTTGGTATATTTCAATATTTCATTATTTGTCTTGACAGTGTATATTTAGATGATTATCTTCCTACATCTGTTACCATAGTGACCCTGCAGCTGTTGTGTGGGTGTGTTCCTTCACATTGGTAACAGATGGAGTTATATACTCATGACACTTCGAACAACTCAACTTCATTTCACAGAATACATATTCATCTTGAGCTCAGTTGAATGCCAGTTTGCAAAGTGTGAGGTGGTTTATAATGTTTGTTGGGGTGAATATTTTGTCATTGCCCACTTTCATACTGCTTTGTTCAATTGGATTAAGTCAAGATTGGGGTTCATTGAATTATTGTGTAGAAGTAGATTAAATTATTGACAGTATAAATATCTAAAGTCTGTTAAACTCAGTTAATCTGAATACGTATTTAGGAATAGTGATTTTATTTATTTATTTTTAGGGCAGGGTTGGGTGAGGAGTTAATTCAAACCAAAACAGCAGGTAGTTTCAATATCTGGGGAATTATCATGTTCAGTCTTACTGAACTGAACTAGGTTATTGACCTTTTGTGAATTCACTTGTTGTAGGGAAGAGTTTTGGGGTAACATAAACATTTTAGTAAATATAAAGATAGGCTTGTTTTCCTTTTTGGGTAATTCAGTCTAAATTCAAATTGAAACAGCAATAAAATTGTCAGAATAATTTGAGTTATTTCAGTTTATCAGATTTGGTCATTTTAGACTTTGTTTGCAGTCTTGGTTATAATTTCTGTTTTATAATTGAATTTTATGAAAGTACAAATAATATTCCCTTCCTAATTTTTGTTAGAATTGTAGTAAGTTTATATATTTGATAATATGAATATTATTTCCTTGCTCTATTTCCATAAAAAAAATTCTTGACATTATATACAAAAGCTAACAGGTCTGGTCTGACCTATTTATCATAATATAACCAGATAAGAAATCACCAGATCAGGGTTTCAACATCAGAGTTACTTCCCCTGGAAAAATCTCCAGACTCCATTGATCTATAAATAGTCTGCCTGCTTGCCACTGTTTTCAAAACTGACACTGGCCCAGTTCAGTTTGAGACGAGCTACAGGATGGAGGTAGGCCTAACCAAGACTGCTAAACACTGTTTCTAACCAGTTTGTTCTGATTTCTAGGATATTATCACTGAAGTTCAGACACAGTAGGGACTAGTATCTTGGTGGCCATGATTCATCAACTGCATGCTGCCACTTTCTTTTGTTGAGCTGTCATCTTTGTTTAGAGTGCTTCTCCCACTCACCATATTTGGAGATTGGCACTAGGGAATTTGCCATGATATTCCAAACACCATTGGCCTCCGTTCTCAGGGCTTAGCAGACAGCAAGTTGTTGCAGACAGAGCTAAATGCATCTGTGAATTTGATCGATGTTCGCTATGCCTCAGTTGTTTTTGATAGTGTGTGTTAGTCAATGGATGAACATGAGGTATTGGACTGGAATTCCCTTTGTGGGAAGGGAAGGAGGATAGCTCTGTGTCTGCCACCTGCTGCTGGCTATGGCAGTGGTTGGGGGAGGTGGTGGTATATATTTCCTGCAGTTGTAGCACGAACGACAATCCTAGTTACTCAAGCATCAGAGCGCTCTGGCTCTGAACTTATTTCAAATCATTTCTTGGTTGCAGCTTGCCTCTAAAAGCTGTGATTTACTTGTATTATTTACCACAGTTGTTTATATTTCCAGTGTCATCTCACTAAATATATATCCATGTTAGAAATATTTGTGTCATTTGAATGTATAAATAGTTCACAATATTTTGATAGGATTCAATTTCTGTAATCCAAATAAACAAATATAAACCAATCACTAATTTTATTGTATTAGATATATGGATAATATATAGAGTATGCAAACAATTGTTTTCATGATAAATATTAACAATTAATCAGGGACATAATTAATGTACACGAGATGGTAAGTCATGTTCTGGCCCAATCTATTGGAATGTGTTGTTGTTCAAATGGTGTGTAACTTGACCACCATCTGTGACCTTGCTGCACTTGAAGTAACACAGCATGTGATTCTACAGACTGGGGCAGACACTTGATACCTGCAAAAGCTGGTCCAAACCAAGCCAGATATACCAGTATCACCTTGCTCAGTTAATTATTCAAATATGACAAAGGACTCTGTTAGCCTTGATAGCCTTCATGCAATATAAGGTATGGGATGGGCCCTTGTAGGTGAGGGAATTTGATCTAATGGCAGATTGCACATGTGTGATGAAAAGAGGGCGTATGTTCAGTACCAGTGTCTTGACTTGAATGTAAACTTGACATTTTAGATGCAGATTTTCATCCCAGTTTGTATGCATTTGAGGGGATTTCGAGTTTCCCCACAGCTTATCATGTACCAGAAAAAGATCTAAGATGTGTCTCAAGTTTTATTGAAGTTTTAAACAGTCAGTTTATGGATGTGGGCCAACATTCTTTGGGCGGATGATGTCTTTAGCGGATCTCTTGTCAAGCTGCAAATGTCACATCATGCATTCATTCAGACTGAATGCTAAAAGAAACAATTTTTTTTCCAAAACGAATATTTTCAGATTGTAAATGGCTCCTTCACCACAATGCTAGGATTAGAAAACCTGATGATTCTTCCGAGAACAGTCAGTCATTAAAGAATGAACCAAACAAGCAAAGTTAAACATTACCCAGAGTGGGCTGTAGCAAGTAAGCTAAATGATAGTTGTTGTTTTTTGTGTTGTTTTATGCTCAAGTGACATTCCAAATGTGTCATTCTAGTGTACGTTTCTGGAGATGTGTCTGTTGTACATGTCCAATAGTTAGAGGACAAGCACTGAAACATAGGAAGGAAATAATCTTGACGGGAAGCAGGTGCTTGCTGATACCAACCTCAGACAACAAACCCCCATTTGATGTGGCGTTACTCACATAATCAGAGACACTAGTAACTGGATACCGGATATAATAATAAGTAGAGACCTAATTAAAGTAAAATGTAAAAAAAATGTTCACCTGCATGTCAAACATTTCCAGTTACCAGAAACAGTATTGACTAACAGAGGCTATCGAGAGTTCATTGAGGTCATTTGATGAGTCTTGTGACTGCCAGTCTTTTCTGAAACTAGTTGAAGTCAAACTATCCTGAAATATCCTTTTGTCGGTCAGACCTACACAGAAGCCCAGATTCTAGTGATACAAGTAAATGTGCCTTGTTTAGGAGGGATTAGATTTTGTTAAATGTGGCAAATGTATGATACTTGCATGAGGAAAGTGCACATGGAAAAGGTATGGCCTAAGGGGAAAATATAACTTCCTTGGGTTAATGCTATAATCCAGTTTGATTAATGTTAATCGATGAAAAAGAAGATCAATCAGCCCTTAAGGCTCTTTAAATCTTTATGGCTGCATTTTTATATTTTTCACATTTCAAAGTTACAAATGATAAATCAGTCATTTGAAATTGGGCAAGTAAATATTTAGGATTAGATTCAAATCTGAATAGACTACTGGTCAATAACTATTTATTAAGCTATAACCTTTGATAAAAATAGAGACTGACACAATTGGGGCCTGTGCATTTGGAAATGTGGACTTTCACACTTACTGTTTGTTGGAAAATGTGAGGAATCAGATAAGGTCTTTATTTCATGTGATTTAAATTAAAGGATAGAATATGGTACCAAATAACTTTCAATATGTCATGTGATTTAAATTGAAGGATAGAGTATGGTACTAAATAACTTTCAATATGCCATGTGATTTAAATTGAAGGATAGAGTATGGTACTAAATAACTTTCAATATGCCATGTGATTTAAATTGAAAAGTGGGTATGGTACTAAATAACTTTCAATATGCCATGTGATTTAAATTGAAGGATAGAATATGGTACTAAATAACTTTCAATATGCCATGTGATTTAAATTGAAGGATAGAATATGGTACTAAATAACTTGCAATATGCCATGTGATTTAAATTGAAGGATAGAATATGGTACTAAATAACTTGCAATATGCCATGTGATTTAAATTGAAGGATAGAATATGGTACTAAATAACTTGCAATATGCCATGTGATTTAAATTGAAGGATAGAATATGGTACTAAATAACTTTCAATATGTCATGTGATTTAAATTGAAGGATAGAATATGGTACTAAATAACTTGCAATATGCCATGTGATTTAAATTAAGGATAGAATATGGTACTAAATAACTTTCAATATGCCATGTGATTTAAATTGAAGGATAGAATATGGTACTAAATAACTTGCAATATGCCATGTGATTTAAATTGAAGGATAGAATATGGTACTAAATAACTTTCAATATGCCATGTGATTTAAATTGAAGGATAGAGTATGGTACTAAATAACTTTCAATATGTCATGTGATTTAAATTTAAGCATAGCCCATGGGACTAAATAACTTGCAAGATGAGATATAATTTGAATTGAGGGAAAGGAACTGGGACTTGCTGTCGGAGGGCATGTGAATGTGGTATATTTTGACACTGATCCGATGTGCAGATTAGATGGTCATCAGATTGCCGTGTAACAATTTATCTTTCTGACGTAGTCTGTGTGACTGTACAAACAGACCCCAGTAGTCCATGGAAGATCACATACTGCTGACTGACATGGTTTTCATCCCTGATTTCCCCACCTGTCAGTCACACAGGTCACAGGACCAGAGTGATGAGATGAGTCTGACCTACACGTGGGCGAACTTACATCATGTAACGTACACGCATATCACTGGATAATTCTGTTGATAAGACCAGATATCATCCTGATATATTTTTAAATATCCTTAATTAGGAGACAATAAACTGTAAATTAAGTTCTATGTTCAATAAAATGTTATGAGTATATCAACCCACATATAGAAAATCCTAAATTGAGGAAATAATGCTTATGTATTTATGCTGCAGAGATGACACTGGATTTATAGACATGTTTAATTTTAATTCTCTTGCTAATCTATGTTAATGACTGCATTATTGTAGTTGATGGTGTTCCCAAGTGGCAGTGTGTTTCACTGTCATGCTGTCTGAACTGTCAAGGTGTCTGAACTTCAGTGAATCCCTAGAATGTGTGCTTGCTCCCTACACTTACTGCCTCTGTTCCCAGCCAGGTCACCATGACATGTACAGGGCACACATTCCTTTTGGAATCGCAGGACTCAATAGGAGTCAGATACACAAAATTCTCATCCGTTTGTGTCATTCATGAAGACATATTTTATGTCGTTGCTTCTGGACAAGCTGACAAAGTCTCTCTCACAAATATTAAGACCAAATTCTTGAATGAAATTACAATCTGCTTTTAGGAGGATGGCGATAGACAATCCCCTGAAAATGAAGTGACACAGGTTTGTCTGAGTACCCCTTCCGATACAGACTCAATGACGTATGATAATGGTGTGCCTGACGATGCAAAAGAAAACGTACATGTAGACGTATACTATCTCTCCCTTTCATCTGTTTCTGTTGTGTTGTCTGCTTTAGGTGTTTTAGGTAGAGTTTTACTAACAACAGCAGACAGCGTCCGCTGTACCCAGAGATTAACATGGATGCATGACTCGGCTTGAATTATACAAATGAATACACTGGGCATTGTTACTTATAAGACTCATACCACATCTACTCATGAAATCTCACAATTTCATATGTATGATTTCATTTTCAAGGATGTTAGCCTAATCATGTTTGCATCATTCTCCTAAACATCTGTGTGATACGGTTCACCATGTTTATTTTGCAGTTAACCAGTAGATTGAGGTTCTGTTACAATACGGGCCTGTTTATTCAGTCTAATTCAAGCCCTGTTATGGTTTTGGTTCTAACAATTTGTTTCAATCTGACATCACTTTTCTGTTTGATCAGTAGTTGGGAATGGTTTGTCATAGCCACCTCTGTCTGACTCATGGTTGACCCACCTGAAGCAGACGACAGTGTGAGTTGTTGATCTCTGCAAGAAGAGATGACTAAGATTCTTATATACGCTGGTTCCTGAAACATTGCCAGATCGCTCTGAGTTGTATCATCAGGATTCCTATTCTAACAAGTCAATGTAAACATATTGTTCATCGTTTCTGTCATTGGCCAGAATAAATACTTGACATCCAAACTAATATTCACTAGTTCAGTAGGTTCTGTGTAAAGCAACTGATAAGTATTGGTTCATTGTATTTGATATACTATATTCTACCAAAGAGGATATATATATTGATATCACAAGTATCTAAAAGCCTCCTATATAAAAGGTTAAGGCCCATCAGTAAGCTCCAATCAGTGTGTGTACGTCGTGTAACATCAGGCCATTCCATTGGTATATTGAAATGTTGAGGACAAATTAGCCCTAAGAATATTAAAGCCAGAATAATGTGTTATGAGCTTGCCAGCCAGTCGGACAAACATGTATACATGGATCTGCTTCTTGTCCTATATTCCTGTTGCTATCTGTCCACAATCCACCCACGACATCCCTGCAGACGCTGGTGTTGTAGGACACCATAGTGAAACAGCAATTATTCACTGACAACAAATGAAAACAATATCCAACAATTACTTTTGTCAGACTATACGTGTAGCAGTAAAACTGGAATTTATTATAAGGGTGTCCTCAACCTGTTATACAGCAAACACGCTAGTGTGACACAGGTTGTGTTTCTCGGAAAGTGAATGTGTGAACACGTTATCAGATGTACCAAGCAGTGCATGGTACAAGCTCACAGGAAAACAGTTTATCAGTAAATTTCCACCTATATGAGCTTCAGTGACTTCCTGTTTCAAAGTGCAGAGTATCTATGTAAAACATTGGGTGTTGTTGTGTTAGTCTTTATCTTGTGATGCTGATTTCATTGAACATTTTTTAAATGCGATTCAATATAAAGTCCCACCACAATATCCTGCATGGAGGACTATCTACATTCGTATGTAAATACAGTCAGAAGACCATATCTGTCAGATTCAGACATGTTCTGCCGTGACTCACTTTGTGGCAGAGTTGAGAAATGTGAAATAATAGATCACTAAGTGCATAACATCACCATAACAACTTGCGCGTGTCAGCATTGTGAACAAATTCCCTTTGCTTCATAAGAAATGGCAGCGGATATCATCCGATCCCAGTACACTACACACACCCTTTTGTTCAGCTAAACATTTATATCCCATCACTGTCTTGGCTGACTGATTTTTTCACCTGGAATAAGTAACCCACCCTGCCCTAGAGGAATGGCCGGTTGTGACCTTATAAAAGTCTTCCTAAACAGAGTTAAAGCAGCCCGACAGACTCCTTTGTGAGTGACATATTCACCAGTCACAGCCACACAATAAGCAACAGGAAATAAAACTACCAGTAGGAATGATATTCCAATGTGAAGCACACTCATGGTCAATACATGCACATAAACGCTGCTGCCAGGGCTGTAGCGAGTACTGACGGAGCTACTTGGTAGTACAACCTACATGCCCATAGAACATGGTAAACATGGTGTTTTTGGAAGATCTATTCAGGGTCCACTCCACTGGATGATGGTGGTATTAAGCTGATTACGTGTTATGGAACTATGCTATGTTGTCCTCGTATCTGGAGGATAGAGAAAGGAAAATCAATGTGGAATTTGCCTGACTGGTAATCTGCAAACATACAGGGGAAATGATGGCTTACGTTGGGGGTCGGGAAAAGTGTACTGCAGCCAATGGTCAGGGATTGGCGGTGGTTGCACATTCAGCGATGTATGAGTCACTCCCTCTTGACTGGCGGATACTGTACACGATGCATATGCCACTTAGTTTAAGCTGATTGTCCTTTCCTGTGTGACCTTTGTGGATGAAATGGGCTTGACATATCAGAAATATTTATCACTTCATCAGAGAGTGTGATGTATTCAGAAATTAAAACATTTAAACTTCATAACTGTGAATTGAAATAGGCTTCATTATTGGTGATGATCATGATGTATATCTAATTAGAGCTATAAAATTTTGAAAGTTAGTGTATTCATTTACTAATATTTTGTGTTTATCTATAGAAATTAAGTTAAATACTTTTAAAATGTGATCATTTAAGGATAAGAATGTCAATTATTAAGTAGCTGTTAAACATACTAACAAATTAGGCAGGATTCAGTGACTTAAAACTTATGATCAAACAGAAAAGAAAGGATGTCATCATACATGCACGTCGTACAGTGACCTTGACCTTGTCTGTTGTTGTCCTTTGTCCATGAGTCTGTTTGTCATGTTGTCAACATTGCTATGGTGGATCACAACTCAGCTTAGACAGGCAGCAACAACAAAAAGCCCTGCATGTCTGTGAAGTACATTACTAACGTGAAACATGCACCACGGATAGGGACAGCAGCCTTCTCGGGAGGAGGAGAAAGGAGTCTCAGCTATACATCTTTGGAAATTTGGTTACATCAAGGAGCCCATGTGTCTCTAAATAATACTGCATCTTGCATTTATCTTGATAACAAGCTGAAATTTACATCAGTGGTTAAAAGGAAAATCTAATTATCAGCAGAGCTAACAGATTGGCTGGTTGACCTTTGTATGTCTATTATCATGGCGAGGTTTCATTTTTGTCTCTCTGATGTCAGTGGATCATGTGACCCTATCTGCCAAGGTCACTCAGACCCTTGTGTTTGAACTACTATTATAATCTCTTTTGTTGTTGGTTTACACAAAAATCCATTAAATACAGTTAGATGGGATAATCTTGGTCATGTTAATAGATACTTGATACGGCAGTTTTGCTACTACTTCATCACAACTAACTATATGTAGAGGTAAATTCACTAACTGGAAACAGCTGAATTGACTGTGCCACATATGGTTGCTGCATGTGTGTGAGGTTGTTGCATGACACCAGCTGATGTAGTGGTGGTCACAGTGGCCACAGTGGCCAGCTGCAGCTGGGTGATTGTACTAATAGCATGACACATAACATAGCCATCGTACAGGGAGAACAGTGTAGCAATCCAGGGCCAACTCAAGCCAAGATTTACCTCTCATTGGACCAGTGCCGAAACCTGACTATATGCTGGTTGCCCTGAATGCCTAACATTGCTCTCCCTGCTAATGTATTATAATAATCATTACTCATTTATCATTACTCATTACACATATATATAATATCTTGTTCTCATAAATATATATTTTTCAGTTGTTATTAAATTGTAATTTTCCTTGCTTAAACAATGATATATGTCCTATTTTTATCTTGTGGTTATATAATAGGTGAAATGTTGAGTTACATGCCTATATTATGATTGCTTAGAAGGGGGAAATGGCTTGACAATCATGTACAGGAAGGAACTACTTCAATTTTCTTGAATGAATTGTAGTTGTTTGGTTTGGTTTGGTTTGTACCACCTGTACCAACGCCAAGCATGCAAGCAATAATGTGTGGCTGATTAGGTGTGTAAATAATTGAGTAATTCTGTGTCTTCCCGCCCACCTACTGAGACAGTCATCTTGATGTAATCCATGTCAATAAGAAAGCCTGACTGAAGGAGTTTCACAGGTGGGAGTGGTCTGCAGTTACCTGTCAACTCTGCCAGAACCTACAGCACACCCTGACATGGTGTCTCCCAAGACTTAAAGCTGTCTTTACTGGGACAATTTGACATTCCAACCCTGCCCGATACCTGATCTGCACATGGACAGCCATGTGCCTGAGGCTACCTGATCGCCACAGTGGAACAGGCCGAAGGTTAAACGAAGACTAAATTCTGTAACTCTTTAAAGTTTAACAAGCTGATTTGTCAGCCTTGGAATGGCATGAGATGTCAGGTTGATTGCCACGAGGATCTGTTATTTTGCTTTTTTCAATTAAATCTGGCCCAACCCTTCCCACTTTAAAAAATGGAAAAAAACAAACAAGGAAACTTGAAAATAAAGCGCTGTATGCTGGCTGCATTTACTTGGAGAAGCTGGCCGCCAGTAATGAGGTGTAGCTTTCCTTTTCACTCATCCCGAAATAGACTAGTATCCTGTCACATGATTGGGCGAGCCATTTTCCGCCCACTAGGTCAGAAGTAATTGACACTTGATTAGAATTTGATAGGTAAAGCAAGTATTGTTGACACTGATAACTGTTTCCAATGATAGTGAGACTGACAGGTCACAGAGTTGTTATCCTATATTTGAAGCTATGTAAGCATGTCAGTATCCCAGCATGCATTGCATGTATGTAGATGTTATGTGCATTCTGGCTGACAATTATGTTCTGTTGCTCTTGTTGTCCGAATGATTTGACAACCTGCTTGCGTTATTCATAATTTTCTAACTAATTCCCATGTTGTTGTTTGTACTAATTTGATCTAGCAGGAAGCAGCAACACCGAAAAAAAAGGGTGGATTTTTCATTCCAACGACGCCAGCGGACAAATGCGGGGCTTGCCAGAAAACTGTATATGCAATGGAGAAATTTGAGATGAACAAAGTGATATACCACAAGAACTGCTTTAGATGCACACACTGCAAATCAAAGTTAACGTAAGAAATCAACAATGGTTACAACTGTGCGTGAGTTCAAACCCAGTCTGCCAGGTCTGTGATGCACATCGAGTCTTGCAGTGTCGGGTGCTAGTATCAGGTCAATACCGCTGGATCATTGCAGTAGACCTTTCCTACACTTCATTCAAATATGAACTTGGGAACTATTAGTAATTTCCAAAGCATCTTCCAAATACGGTTTTAAATGAAGTAGTGATGTTTTGAAATTGTACCTATTCTGCACAAATTATGAGCTTGACACTGACAAGCACTACACAAGATGAGCAGGTGCAGGTGAGAGACTTGGGTTTGTCTACACGACATATCCTCATGCATGAGAACAGAAACTATGCCAAGATATGCACTCAAACCTGATTATTGTATTGTTGGGTAATGGGCTGGCCAGCATGCTGTTGTGTCAGCAATCCTTCTGTGGTCAGTGTGTCTGTGGTCGGAGTGTCCATGTGGGTCCCTAGCGTCTGGCTGTGTCCGTCTGCTCACCACCATGGGTTGCTTGTCTGTGTGCGTCCACATCTCTCTGCCATCATACAGGCTGTTGGTACAGCAATATCACGAATCTGTCAACTTGCTCTGTGTGCAGTTTCCTTATTCATATACTCGTGGTTTGCTTGTTTTAGAAAACAGCAGAAGTAATCAAATTTAGAAAACAAGTATAAACATTTATGTTTTCCAGTCACAGTTGACTTCTAGGTTTCCTTTTCCATTGCTATTTGGTCTGTAGTTTCAGGCCAGTTGAATATTATCAGTTACTGCATGCAGCAAGAATATTAGTTATCATAGTTATCATGTCTGCCAAATTATTGGACAAAAATTATTTCGTTATTCATGGTTTGTTTTCAGAACAAAAAATTGTGTTTGCTTTAAGTGTATTTACAGAATATAAGGAATGAAAGTTCATATTAACAAAACAAACGTTATCTTTACAGTGGTGTTGGCCAATTGTAACTTCTTGTGTTTAACAAGTGCATGACCTCTTAATACTACTACAAATCTAATGTAAGCAGAATGCCAACACATGGCAAGGTCTGGCGTAATGGAATTTCGTACCTTCAAATTTGAGAAAGTGAAGTCTGTCTTTGGACTTTAAGAGAGTAACAAAACACTATGACTCTGTGCAGGAGCCATTTTGTATTTGTTTCTGTATTATTATAACATACAAGCTAGAAGTTGTTTACTTCAGAATATATTCAGGTATATGAGGGTCCTGATCGTCAGAGTGTACATAGCATTACAAGTTATCGTTACTATATAGTTTATGATAGACTTACAAACACCATAGTGCTACAAACGCTTTGTGGATCGGACTTGTTTTCATAGAGTATTTCCCCTGTTTGCTGTTTGAGTAATAACATGTCCCTATATGATGGTATGAGCTTTGTGGTTGTCGTCAGTCAGTAGTAGCACAGCCTAGTGCCCTTTACCCCACCAGCTGACTGACAACCTGATGCACGTATCTGTGCAGGCACTTAAGTCAGCTGGAACTGGGGCTGGTAACATTCTGCCTCCACAAAGGTATTTGTATCTATGGAAACCAAAAGGTAGCTGGTGAAAGTACTATAAATGAGAATGAGATATAGACCTTGCCAAGCCAAACATTGCGTGTCCTCCGCTGTGATTGCTGACTTGTCCACCATTGATCCACATCATCATTACTGTCAGCTGGAAACTAGTGCATATCTTGGCAATATTTTGTGTTCTCTCAACCTCTTGATAATCAAGATATTTTTGTTTACAACAGTCATGTTATATTTAATTCAGTTTCCTTATTTATGGAAATAACTGCTTCACATACCAGGTATGAGGAGATCGGTATTTCCAGGTTGTTCACTAAAGACACTTGGTAAAGTCTTGAAAGGGAAACTGGTGTAGGTAAATTAGATCATGCATAATTATTATTATCTGATACCTTTCAATAAGATATTTATCAATAGTTTGTATTGTTTGTAAATAACATTTCAAACTATGTTTTATGAAGTTCACTCTTCTGCTTTTTTTGCATAAATGTGCATTTTACCGCATGACACTGTAAAGCATGACATCATATTAGTGCTTTCAGAGGTTTGTAACCATAGAAACAGGCTACAGTAATTCACTAATTTTGCATGGTTGGTGTTAATTACACCAAATAGTTAATGTTAGTGTTATAACCTTCTACTGTGCTGATATAGTTTGGGTAAGTCAGGTATTGATTATTTACAGGCCTGATGTATGTTCAAGTGTGATAGCGACAAGTATGGGGCATTGATTGAACTAAATAAGGAAATGTTAATCGTGTAAACATATTTACATAGACATGAGGTAGTAATTAATGGAAATTGTATCTATTGCCTGTACATGTCTGTGTACAGAGATAAAGACTGATGCAATGTGTAATTCTGTGCTGCAATTGCGTGGACAGATCTAGGTTAATGAACCCTCCCAGTTGTTCGGTCAATGAGAACATCACATCTCTACAACACAATCCAGCCAGCCAGCCATCAATAACAGATGTGTGCCACTTTCAAATACATACATACAAATGCCAACTACAGGAAATTTTATTCTGACTGTTTTTTCTAATTTTAAGATAGTTTTCTCTGCGTGAGCTTTGTAGATGATGGGAAATGCCAAGTGTAAATTGCTTCCTGCAAGGAAGGTGAATAGAAAGACACCTCATCTGTGTTATTTAATTGTTGAACAGTACTGTTACCTACTAGCAAGCTAGGGGAAGTAATTCAGTATTCTACTCATCTAATGAACATCATTATCCAGGAAATTTGTCCCAAACAGAAATATTCACCTATAGCAAGGATACCTTCAGAACATGAAATATTTCTTTTGGCCAGTCTTAACACAAACACCACATGATAGATGTGTCAATCCAGCATCATGATATGAGGGTTCATACATATGAGGTAAAATAAATAAAACAATTTGTCAGTCACAGTAAAATAATTGAGTATTTCTGACATATATACATTTGGAAACATACGAGCAAGAGGGTAAATATCTGGGCTAGCTGCGGCCCAGCTTTGGTGCAGCTCTGCAGTGACGTCTGCTGATGCAATAGGTGCCTCGGTGTAGTTACACAGGTGGCAAATCTATGTCAGGACACATGGACATACGCATACATATCTCCACACAGTGCTACAGTCTTGTCATGTTTACCAAGTAGAAACTTGTATCAGCACAATATAACTTTATTCTAATTAATCTTTGATTTGTCTTATAAATTGATTGAATAAGTTTGATAAATATGAATATAGCATCAGAATTTTTCAGCTAGGTAACATTCATTAAAAGATTGGCATATTGCAGTACCTCTTCTCCTAGTAGGTCATATTATTGTTATTTAGAAAAAACTGGAAGAAGAAGGAGATAGGTTTTCTGATTCTCTGAAGCTATTTGCAGGAAGTTCAGCTTTAAGTATTGTGCAGTCTTGTATGTTGGAAGTCTACACATTATAACTTCTAGAACTTTTGGCTTAATGTGTTACTCATCCAGCTGCTTCCTTCCTTGTTCAGTGACATATAAGTATAACATACATGAGGTCATATACGTTTTTATGTTTAATAAACTTTGATTTTATTACCACTTCAGGCAATATAAGGATTTATGACCTCCAGATTTTTGCAGCTCGTCAGTCCAGCAATGACTGCATGCTCAGTTATCGGCAATAAGACTTCCAAGTTTTTATATGCAGAAGAAATATATATACATATAAAATACAAGTACATTTTGTACATTATGATAATATTAGCAAATATTTTTCATTTCCCAATAGTGATTGTGATATATTATCTGCAATAATATCTTGAGTAATATTTTGAGTTCATTACCTTGCAGCTATAATTGCTGAATTTACGTGTTGATTTCATCAATTGTGAAAATGTTTAAGAACCTGTTCTGATTTTGTCTTGTATATTTTCAGGCCAAAAACGTTTGCCGCCAATAATGGTATCATATACTGTACCAACCACTTGATGCAACTTTTCAAGAGCAAAGGAAATTATGACGAGGGCTTTGGCCGAGAACAACACAAAAAGAGGTGGCAATCAGACGTGAAAGACGGTGAACAAGAGCAGAGCTAGACTAGACACACTTTGTAGCTTCTCACCTACTGAGCCATACAAATGGACACTTATTTTGTACAAACTACTATTATTTTCTGTGGATCATGAACGAGAGTAGCGTGCATGAACTCAAGTGCATTATTGGTTTAGGACTCGCCTGTGAGACCAGAATGCATTGTGAGATTGATGGAAATGCATGGGAGGGAGGTGTATCATGGGAAGTAAAATGCATTATGGGAAGGAAATGGTGAACTGTATTTTGAGATCACTGAACATTTCAAATAATCTGCTATCTTCTTGTTGATTGTGCTTCAAAGCTTTTAATAAGGACGTAGATAAGGTGATTAGAAGTTTGAATGTTTGACAAGCAAAAGGGTAGATTTGTCCCTTGCAGAATGAGGATTATCAGAAATGTAGTGGAGACGAGCAAAATGTGTTCATAATACATACCATGTTTCGGAAGAATATTCAGCTCAAGGAAGCAAAGGCAATATAGGCTCACAGTCCCAGAGCAATTCGAGGAGTTTCAATTTATCTTTGACTAGCTGAGGGCCTCAAGTGTACAAATGCATCAATTTGGTACTCATCGAGAAATGATATTCACCATAACAAAGCCATTTTATCATAAACAGTTTTTGATTAATGTTTTTTTGAAAATGCTTCATGTAAATACTTAGGTAAAAAATATATTAAAAAAAAATATGCAAACAAGTTCTTGATATTAACGGTTTGTGTTCTGATAAACAATGACCAAGGCAATATCTGCATGCATTACTTCCAGGAGACGTTTTGTAAGAGGGCTTTCACTGTATGCTGTAATTACCTACTGTAGCTAACTAGCTCCTGTGTATTTTGTAATTGTTCTGATTTTTTAAATCAAGCATATTTTTCATTTTATTAATAGTATTATATTTTAGTATTATTTCACCTAGTACTTGCTCATTTCGCATGATATATCTATGTACATTTCTAAATTGACTTGTATTGTCTTTTGATATTTATATGAACTATGTAACAATTTTCAATTTTGCTCAATTTGAAGTTTGAAAAAATTGGAAAGAAACCATTGTGTATGATGTATATTGTTGACTACTTAGCCTGCAGTGTTTATACTTGTCATCTTGAACAAATCTGAGAGCATAATTGACCTTGATTCAGCTGCTATGTACAATGTCTGATGAGCACAATAGACCATGTTACGCTTATTTTCAAAACCTAGTGCTAGTAATATTCAACTTTTCGTACAACTATGACTATTTATTCATACTCGATTGCATGATTTAAGATCTCTCTTCAGTAAGCTTCAACAAGTTTTGAAAATAAAAATAATCGAATTTGCATTCTCTTGTTATCTTTCTTCATCTACTGGAAAAATGATGGGCAGTTACTAGGGGGTTGAGATTTGGTGGATCAGTAGTATAAACACCTTGTGTCTGTATGTGGAAGCCTCAGTCATTGACAATGTATTGGTTTATAGTTAGTTGGGATCAACGTTAAAGGCCGGGGTTCAAACCTATACACAGATGGGGTGTGGCCTCCTTGCCTTGTCAACGCTGTCTTTTGATGCAAAGCAATGCAGTATTCAAGTACATTCCATAAATTATCACAAAATTGACTTACCAGTTCAGGCTGATATTAAGTCATAGCATAAAGAAGTATGTTATGAAGACTCACAGCAAAACGAATGGATGCAGAGAGTCTACAAAACATACATTTTGAAAATATATTTCTCATTTTTAAATCCAGATTTGAATTTACCACTGTGTCAGTCAGGTGGCCAGAGGAGGTGCGTTTCCATAGAAACAAGCCTTGGAGAGGGGGGAAATGTTTCATTCAGGGTTTCATATTTCAGGCAGGCTGGGAAAATGCCACCCTCCCCGCGCTCCCCTGACACCATGCTGTGCAGGGCAAGGGTTGTACACTTATCTGATGCTGACATCTCTTTGCTGAAGATTGTATATTCAGAATATAAGTAAAATTTGATGTTTCATATATGCTAATCAGATTAATCTCTTTAGTCATCAAAATATGTAGTGACAGGGTTGTTGGACATTTACTATAAGGCACATGTTTATTCTAGTAGTAAATTCCAAGGTTAACCATTGCCACGCCAGGCTCTTGCCAGGCACCTACAGCCCTAGATTTAGGCTTAGTCTCTGAATATATATAATTTTGATAGTAACAAACAAGCCCATTTATATTGAAAAGGAGCCCTAGTGAGACCAGAGATTCAGAACCTGGGGAAATCTGGACTTGCTTTATTTAGGGCTTTAGCACTGCAAAGAGGGCTTGGCAGTAGGGAAATTAATGTGGTTCAGGGACTGTGAGACAGACTACCACAGCCCTTACAGTCTTGTCACTCAGGGGCTGATAACATCTTCACTGCTGAGGAGTTGCACCCTGGCCTATAAATGACAGTGCTGTGTTGTGATTATGTGACACATGTTCAATTAGTACACAGATGTAACTTGCAAAAGTAAATTTGAGTTACCGGAACATTTTAAATAATTAATTTACATGAAGGTTGACTCATTGATTTAAAAGTATACAATACACTGGACACAGCGTTAACATTTAGTGATTTTAAAAAAAATAATCAATACCACATATTGAAATACTTAATGGTTTAAAATATTATGTAGAGCCCTGATGTCATTATGGATTCAGGTTAAATTTCTTTATCGCTGACCACCACCATGGTCTAGTGACCAGAGCATCTGTCTATCTGGAGAGTGGAAGGTCAGGAGGTCAATCACATGCCAGGTCAAACCAAAGTTCATTACAACATAGTAGGTAATACTTACTATGCAAGACAGATAGGGTCAAGATGGTACGCCAAGGCCATGCAGTGGCCAAGAGGCAAACTGTACATACTCAAGTGCTCACCTAACTTGAACCTTGATGGTCAAGGTTAAAGGCTATTTTGCAAAATGGCAGAGAAGCACAAACTTTTAAGTTTCAGCTGTTTGAAGGCCTGTGCACATGTAAATGATTACCTGGGTAACTTCAACTGGAAGACATGTGATTCATGGATTCAACACTGTGACAAACAACAAAGCTTGTCTGTAATTGTTATCACCCTATCTGTTGGTCTGCATGTGTCAGTGTTCAAACTGTTGCATGGTATCTGAGTGGGCTGTCACTTTAAAACAATCCTAAGTTCATTAGTGTAGCAATGCAGCTGGACGTCTCGCATTTGAATGCATACAAAAAGAAGACTTTTACTTGATGGTTTATGACTGAATTACTGAATGAAACAGAAGTTGTTCACTGGTCCCGAGGGGGACATGGGTTGATGTACCCTCTATGTTTGTTTATGTTCCCTGAGCCCGAGGGACCAGTGAACAACGTATTTATCTTACCGAACACCTCAATGTTAATTGTTACCTGTTTGAAGCACGGATGTTGGATCATAATAATGAGTATAGGTAGTAGGTGCCTCACTCTGACAGTGTGGGTTCGAATGCGGGTGGGAACTGAACTCAGAAGAGTACTTGAATTTGTACTTTGCTGAGAAAGTGTAATCCCAAATATAACAGGTTCCCTTTGACAACTTCCAAATGTCATTGTGTATTCTTTCTGAAGAAGAGTTTTGGCATAGATCTGCATTTGAAATTACATATAAAATACATTTACCATTGAATGAAGAAGACATAAATACTGTAGCTGAAGATAACGTTTTCTGAGTGGGTGGATGTTATCAGTTTACTTCAGACAGAATGCAACAAAGATATTCAAGGACTGGTGATACCATTTTCACACAGTGATTGAGTGTGTGGATGAACGATCAAGCATTGTAGGCAACTCATATTTAAACAATCCAGCTTTCCTGATTACACAGGTTGGAAAGAATATCTGGAAGCATCCATTATGAAACACTGCTTGGAGTTTCAGTACTTGAAATTTGTGCTGTCAAGATAACTGATTTCCAGACTCATTTACCTGGGAATTGTGGACTGTCTGTTTTAACAGGGATGCAGACTTATTTACCGGGGGACATTGTGAACCTTTTTCCCTTTAACTTGTGCACACTCTGGGTTAACAACAAATATACTGACAGATGAATATGGTCTACCTGTATACTTGATTAGATTGTTTTGTCATACTTACATACGTTGTAAGTTGATTACACAGATTTAGAGCTATTATAATTTCGTTATATACCTCTGATTTTCCATCACAGTATGTTTATCTCCTAATTAATCTGGAAGGGTCAGTTGGTAAAATCAACCGTGCTTGGGTTTAGTAGCACAGGACTCGGGAGTCCTCTCCTTCACGCTAAAGTCACGACAGAACGTTACAGTTGTGCATTTTATGAAGCGTCCGTAAAATATGAACCAACAGCATAATGGGGAGTCGATGCTGGTTGAGCTCCATATACTTCCTTCATTCCAGGAAATCAGAATGACATAAGACGCTCTGGAATAATGTTGTATTTTCTACAACGACAATTACCTGTCAAATATCTATGTTCTTGTGGACACAAATTATTACTGGCTGTCCAAGCGTTTTTGGGTTTTTTGGTCCATGTGTTGAAAATATCCGCTTGCTGACGATTGAAAGGTGTACATCACTCCCCCACGACCCATCTTACATCAACCAGATGGCGCTGTTACTCCATGCAGTATAGCCATACTATTATGCAATTTTACAGCACAACGCGTGAACCAGTAAACAAAAACATAGTCCAAAGTAGGGCGTGATGTAACCTGATCCCCCAACATGTGCGTGAAAACGAAGGTAACACATTCAGTGTGGGGGCGTCGTGGATATGGTACTAAGGGTCGGGGAATGTTCGGGACAGTCGGGAGTCAGAAAATTATAACGCTATTGTCTCACAAATAGGAATTTTGTTTACAGACTTACACTACATCTACCCGTTTCAACATCTTCTGTGCACAATGAAGGTGCGTGACTAAAACACAAATCACTGGTCACATTGTTTGTTATGTCTTGTGTTTATATCGTGTGTTGTCATTTCAATGGTTAGTTGGTAATACGTGTTATCTCAACGTATACGTTTCACCATGGTTACACGGAGATAACCCCAGGACGATACCGTGAAGGATGAGGTATTGTCTAATGTTTTCCCGTATAAATCCCGTCTTCATGCACCGCGAGTCACTTTAGTCATACACGGCGCTTCAGTCATGTGTACAGGCAATTAAACAACACAAACAACGCCTAACGTAAAGTGACATGTTTGACTACTGACAAAGAAAAAGTTCATCGTGTGCCATATTGCATTGGTGTTGTTCATCATGTGCCTTCTGTGTTTGTGTTGTTCATTGCACAGAGGCTTGTAACGTAAATAACTAGCATCAAGGTGTATACTGTTTCCAGTTTCATTGGTAAAAATATGTACACAAACAGTGCTATGGTTGAAGTCAGTGTGTTTGATGTGCGGTACAAGTTAGCGGTTATATACTAGGCACATAAAGAAACTGCATGCACAAATTTAAAATCTCAATTTATCAAACCTGTGTAGACACATAAGGATTTAAACTCAGAGATTAGTGACATTTATCCAACATGCATTCACGTGCCACGTTCCGTGACGTCAGTGGGTTCGTCCTTGAGACGTGCAATACGTTGTTGCACGTGCATTCCCGGGAAAGAGAAACAGAGCAAATGAATGCCACACAATACTGTCACTTTGGAAAGCTCAACCCCTGCCCTTGCAATCGTTCAAAAAATTAAACGGGTATTGAAACGCATAGCATGCCAAGGCTCACGTCTGCACAACGTCATGAGGCCATTGGGATGGTCCTTGGGGAATGTCTCAACGACAAGTGGCTGCACATTTCCACTGCCACCGGAACACCATTTCTGCACTGGTGAGACGCTACCAGAACACAAATGACGTCATCGATCGGCCACGTTCTGGACCTCCTTTCCTCCACGTGTAACAACGCCAAGACAAGACAGATGGATAAGGGTGACCCATCTTCGCCACAGGTTTCAGACTGCAGTGATGACTGCCCGAACCATCCCAGGACTTCGCCGTATCCATCCCAACACAGTTCGACAACGTTTACGTCATCGCGGGATCAGACCACGACGTCCCGCCATACGGCCTATCCTGACACAACGTCATCGACAAGCTCGCCGAATGTGGTGCCGAAATCATGTCCGCAGATCCTTGTTTCGGTGGAGAAATGTTTTTACAGATGAGTCCAGGTTTAACATTTCCCATAGTGATGGACGTCAACGTGCCTATAGACGCGTGGGAGAACGTTATGCACAGGCCTGTGTCTTGGAGAGGAATCGCTTTGGTGGTGGTTACGTGATGATTTGGGGTGGAACGCCAAAGAACTCCTTTGGTGATTGTTCAGGGCAA